TTTGAATATGTGATACTAATTAACTTTCATGTTGTAAATTGATTGTACGAACAAACATGAAGCCATTTGAATATTGCATGTATTTGATCTACATGAAAGGAGTTTTACCTAAGGAATATATGTTGTGAAGTAAAAAATACTTGAAATGCATATAATGAGGCAGAGAGATGAATTAAAGCCAATAGCTAGACAATTGATTAGAAGTGTGATAAAATGGGCATGAAGAGAAATGTAGAATATGTATTTATTTAATAATGATAGCTTCACTTAAAACATTATATATAAAATATTAATATACTCTATATATTTTATATGATAACACCACAAAAAATAATGTGTATAAAAATATTTAAATTTTTGTAAACTATTTCTAAACTATTCTATTTTACTCCAAAATTAGTTGCTGATTAATAATATTAGAAAAATATCGTTTTATCTTTTCTGTTCATTTTTTATTGAGCCGAGATCAAGTTCTCTTCACTTTATTCTTTTTTTAGGTTAATTCCTGGGAGCGATTATTATCTCAATCTTAACTTTGCAGATTTAAATGTGACCAAATGTATGAGTAAATTTATAATATATATATGATATTTTTTGTGTCTAATTAGATTTAAGTTAAATTAGAGTTGAACCTATTTTTCTAAATAAATCTTTGTATTGTCGCACTAATAAGTTTCTACTGCGAAACTGTGTTTACCTTTGTAACATGTCTAACTGGAAAACCCCGTTTTTGTTAGAAGTTATATGTGACTATTAATGATAAATGTTCTACTTTGTGGTAAGTACGTTGAGGTTCATGGTATACTGTGTACAGTTTCTAAGCAGTATAAGTGTGGTTTCATAGAGTTATGCATGTTTGGGATATTTTGTGTTCAGACTATAGAAAAATGATATGTTAGGTACGGACTAAAAGCATATAATGATCACCACTGTCATCTTTTTGTGCACAAAATATATGCAGCACCAAAATAGCCAGAAAGCTAAGTGATCAAGAAACTCGGAGGACAGACCTCAGGAAAGAAATTAAGAAGAAAAGGCAAGAAAAGGGCCAGACTCATGTGCCCATCTTATATATATATATATACATCCTCACCCGCTCAAAACTCAAAACACGCAACTCCTCCTTCTCTAGCCAACGCTACTATTTTGATAGAACAATGGCAACCCAACAAGAGCTCCAACTTGTTGAAACAATCACCTCCCTCTATGAATCCATCTCAAAGCTCCCCTCCCTCTCCCCATCCGACCATGTGAACCAACTCTTCACCAAGCTAGTCACCACTTGCATCCCTCCTTCATCCATCAACATCGCCGCTCTCTCCGATGAGGCCCAAGCCATGCGCTTAGAGCTCATCAAGCTCTGCGGAAATGCCGAAGGGCTCCTAGAATCTCATCACTCGGCTCTCATCTCAAACCATGACAGCCCACTCAACCACCTCTATTCCAACTATGAACAACTCACAAAACTAGAGTTTACACTCCTCTCCCGCCATGTCACAACTTCTCCTTCCAAGATCGCTTTCGTCGGGTCCGGCCCCCTCCCTCTCTCGACCCTTGTTCTCGCGACCCGGTACTTGACGGATGCGGTCTTTCACAATTATGATCTGGACCCGTCTGCAACGGCAAAAGCGAGGAAGTTAGTGGAGTCAGACCCCGACTTGGCTGAGAGGGTGGTGTTTCGAACGGCGGATGTGATGGAGGTGAAGAGGGCCCTAAGAGAGTATGACGTGGTATTCTTGGCCGCGTTGGTTGGGATGGAGATAGAAGACAAGAGGAGAGTTCTTGAGCACTTGGCTCTCCATATGAAGCCTAATGCACTCCTTGTGGTGCGCAGCGCACACGGAGCTCGCACATTCTTGTACCCGGTGGTAGAGACGGATCAGGATCTGACCGGATTCGATGTGCTCTCCGTGTATCACCCGGAAGACGAGGTGGTTAACTCGGTGATCGTTGCGAGGAAGAAGGGGATTAATGTGGTGCCTTGCAAGTGTTGTGAGCCGTTGGTTGGTCAGCTTGAGTATCCGGGTAGTTTGGTCGGGGATCAGCTTGCGATCGACGGCCAACGCTACTGATCGGCGTTAATCAACCGAATCCCGGCGAGTACTTTGGGGTCGAAGTGATGTTTTTAGGTTTCTTTTAATTTCCTGCGAGTCCCCGTTTACGAGGTTGCCGTGGTGTGACTTCCCTTTCCGGAGCTTATTGTTGGTGTGGCTGTATCTCCGTTTTAAATTTTCTTCAGAGAATAAATGCGTCTTTCATGTATGTGGAGATAATTAATTGTGTTTACCAACTCTTCACCAATATATATGTGCGGCATTGCTTGAATTAATAGATGGAATTTATCGATATCAATATAACTTGTTTACCAATACCTTTAGTGATGAGTGTAGTAGAATCGTTGCACTGTTCTCGTACTTCTGCACACAAAAAAATGGGGCCCATAAGGACTCAAATTTTTTCTACACAATTTAAATGAATAGCTCCCATTTTTTTAGTATAGGAGTAACAGTATAACTATTGTGTACCGTTATTGCTATTCTGTTTTTAGTAGGGAAGTCAATTTATGCCCATACCTATTTACCCATCTTGCCCACCCATTATTTGGCCCGTCCAAAACCCACCCATTTAATTAAATGGGTCTAAACGGACGGGTCCATTTTACATCCACTCAAACGGGTGCTAAATGGGCATTCTATACCCGCCCGCCCGCCCGCCCACCCGCCCCTCCTCCGCCTCCTCCTCCGCCCTTATTCCGCCGCCTCAATCCCTCCTCCTTCGCCTCCTCCTCCATCGCCTCCTACGCCTCCTCCTCCGCCTCCTCCTCCGTCGCCAGTCGCCTCAACCGCGTCTCCAACCAGAGCCTCCTCCGCCTCCTCCTCCACCGCCTCAAGGCCCTCAACCGCCTCTCGAACCCAGAGCTTCCGACGCCAATCGCGCCTCCTCCGCCTCCTCCTCCGCTACCTCAACCGCCTCAAGGCCCTCAACCGCCTCTCGGATCTAGGCCCTCAACCTCCTGCAGTTCAAAGATGTAATCTCGATGAAACCCTAACCTTAGATCTGCTCTTAAATTTTTACTGATTTTGAGTTTGATCCATAGTTTTCTACCCAGTTCTGTTTCTATTATTTGTTTGATAGGGTTTAGATTTGAATTAGATTTAGGGTTTTTAGCTTTATTGATGATTAGATTGGGAACCCACTGGTGTTTGAACTTACGTTATAGATCTAATAATTCCAAAAGTCTGAACTTGTCAATGTATTGGTTCTACTATGAGTATTTTTGTCTTTGAATCGTTCCATGTTTCTGTTTTTATTAATTATATGAGGGTAAGCTATATTTCTCAATGGGCTGATTTTATAGTGCATCACGGGCTGTTCCAGTGAACTTACTTTAAACTTTCAACTATGATTGTTCTTTAGCCTTTGATAGAGTTTTGATCTCATATTTTTGTTTGTGCAGCTTAATGCAGATAAGAGTCCATTCCAGCGGACATATGCTGCCCAGGTAATGCTAGTTTTCTCTTATGCATCTTCTATGTAAATTATGATTAACATACCTATTTGTCAATGGAGTTTTTGTTTGATAAGCCGTGAAATTGAGGCCAGCTTAACACATGTTTTTAAAACTTTATCCACTTTCATTTACTTTCAGTTACATGGAAATTAGCATGCATGATCCAAAAGAGGCTTGCCTTGGGAGCTTGTCAGTCTCTGCTTAGATGCTAAAATTAGATTTTCTTCTCAGATAGTGGTTATGCCTTATTTTAATTAGTTAGGAGTCCAAAAGTATGTAATTATATCTCTGAAAGCAAAAACTATGTTAACTGCATATTTTTTAGGATCTAGAGATCTTTTATCCTTAATGTTTAGAGAATCCATGTAAGCTTTCATTTTGCTTAGGATAGATTTCAGAAAACTCTCCTGAGCTTGGGTTTAAGTTGCGCAAAAACCATTGAACTTTGAAATCTAAAGAAAACCCCCTAAGCATTGAGAGTGTCATAAAAACGGTGAACCGGAACGTTTTAAAAGCTTAACCTAACATCGTGGTAAATTCCCTTCTAGGATTTACCAGGGGAGAAATTTAGTTGAACTATTTGCTTCTAAATTCTTGAATTAGTGCCAGGTATATAAGTTGCACACCTGAACAAAATAGGGCTAAATAGAATGTTTATTTTAATCAGATCATTCTTTGTTGCTTCATGTTTTATTGTATTCTGCATTTAAACTTGTGTAAAATCCACCTTTAGGCTGCAGTGTAGAAGTTCAAAATGTATTGACCGAGGATCAGAACTTTAGTTGAACTATTTTTGTTTCCTAATGTATTATCTGAGGGATTGAATGTAGAATTTCCTAATGTATTGTTCATGGTTGTTATTTGTCATATGTTTTCTGTCACTTTTGGGTTCACAAATTTGACCCTAAATTTGTTGGGCTGTAGCTTGGTTAGAGATTTATCGTAGCTACAATAAGCCGAGGTGGCTATTATCCTTATACTACCATTAGTACTTTTGAGCTTGTGCTGATAGATGGAGTTCATTCATGTATTTTCCACCGTCGAACAATTTTGATCAAGGTTCATTTATACGAGTTCATACTTCTTCAATCTCTAGTCTTTAGACGTAATATTTTCATCATGCACATCCATTATGTTTGCTTGTTCCCTCTATCTTCCGGATATTTTGAATGTATTGTATTGTGCAATATGTTGCCTATGCTATAGAATACCCACAAACGTGACAAGATATTCCTTGATCAAAATACAGTGTGGATCTTCACCCATTGTAGTCTAGTCCTCTTGCGAAATTTCTTTTTTATCTCTTGATTTTTTTTTGCACCATATAATTTATTCTAACTGTTAGAATTGATATTCTCTTGATCAAAATACAGTGACAATATGTTAACTTTTATGTTTCTTGCACCATATAATTTATTCCAACTGTTATAATTTGTTCTAGTTTAGCAGCTTGTTCTGTCTAAGGATTTTCCTTCTCATTTGATGTGTTCTTGTTTGCTGCTCTTTGATTCCTCATCATGGACACTATCCTTCAATTCTATTCTTTTTGGTCGTAAGATTTTAATATTGTTAACCTGAATGCCTTGACCATAGTATTGCTGAATTAGAAAAGGATCAAACTTTACGGTAGATTTTTCCTGAAAAGTTTTTCCTTGTATGTAGTAATCTGACTGTTGATGCTGCAGAGAACCTTGAATTTGTTCAATAAATGGCACAGACGAATTCTGACGAGAAAGCAAGCGCTGCTGCTAAAGCTGTTGTTGGTGCTGCTGCTGCTGCTGCTGCTGCTGCTGTTGCTAAAGTTGCTGAAGTTGCTGAAGCTGCTGCTGCCGAAGCAGTTGTTGCTGATGCTGCAGAGAACCTTGAATTTGTGAGCTAGTAGTACGTCTATAACTGCAGTTATTTTGGTTGATTTTGGTTGATTCTGTAATATGTTTATACTGTTTCCTTGCGTTGTGATTATTGTCAGTCGCAGCATTGTCAATTTGGGGGCTAAGATTTACTTTCTCGTAAAATCCCTCTCTTGTTATGTTTGTTTCCTGGTCTTTTCTTTCTTCTGTCATGATCATGTTCATGCCTGAACATTTGAAAGATGGGAAATAAGTGGACTATGGTTGTGCTACTATTTTGTTTATAGACGAACTTACTACTCTTCTAGTTTATCAAGTAATTAAGTAGATTGTCCTTACTAATCGTGATCATGTTGCTGATAGTTATGATGGCATTTATATCAAGTTATTGATCTTATATAGATCCTTGCATACCTTGTGTTTTCTATCTTAATTCATTTAAATATTCTCACAATTTTGTTGTTATTGATCTTTTGGTTTTTGGTTTGGAAATTTGAGGTTAATTTTGCAAATGTGTGAGGTCTGTACTTTTATCCAGGCTTGTAAATGGTTCAATCATGAACTTGTCTGCCTTTGTTTATCTTTGTTTATATTCCTATCTTTGTTAGTATTTTATCAAAAGCCCCAACAAGTTTGCAAAAAGCTCCCAAAAAGTTTGCAAAAAGCCCACAATAGTTTACAAAAAAAAACCCCTAAAAGTTTACAAAAAACACCCCCAAAAAATTATACATATATAGTCACTATAGTTAAATGGGCAAATGGGCAACCCGTTTATTAAATGGGCGGGTAAAAACCCGCCCATTTAAATAATGTTAAATGGGCCATAAATGGGTAAATGGGCAAAACATGCCCGCCCATTTATGGCCCGCCCATTTAAAACCAATACCCACCCATTTAACATCTCTAATTTTTAGTAAGCTCAATGGATACAATAGTTTCAAATGTTTATGATGTCTTCTCTCACCATTCACCTGTTTTTAAAGCTACGGCTTGTACTGTCAAATTAAATTGGCAAATATACACTTACATGTTTTACGTTAGAAATTCATATATAGGGAGTACGTTTCTGGTCGCAGATATATATGACCAATGGAGATAACAAATTAAATAAATTCCTTCCTATATCCATCAAAATCAGCTATAGAAAGAAATCGAATGTTAGGAAAACGTATGAAATATAAAGAAACACACACATATATTATATATACCATGTAAATCAAGGTGATAGGGTCATTGTTGTGACTTGGGATTCAAACAAGCAGAGAAGGGATTTGGTCCACTTACTTTTTGTTTTTGTTTAGGTGAGTTCTTAATGATATGCCGATACAGATAGATTGAGATCTCCATGGACTATACGACAAGGTGAAAGTATTGATGTTGCCCTTTTGTGAAGCTCACATCTCGGATTAACAACTAATTTATAAAATATACATGAGCAGAGCAGATAGCTATACAAAGTAAGGTATATATCTTCATGAAAATTTCATAGTGAGTGTCCAACTACAATCATCCTAATTTAAGAATAAATACTTATTATTTTAGTTACTAATTTGATACACATAACTATAGAATAAATCTCAAGCAAAAAGTAGGAATTAAAATTGTATTAAATTTAAAAGTAATAATTTAAATTATTAAGCGTCAAATTTTAGTTCATGTGAGAAAGTAAATTAATCTATGGTCTATATATCTATATAGTCAATCAATCAAACGTATTATAATTATGATGACTACATTCAAAATTATATGGTGGACACACATTAAATATAATTTATAAAAAATAGTACATTAGAGTCAAAATCCTTTTAACCACTATATAGATTGTCTAAAATTTTTTGCATATATAAATTACACTGCCTAGGAACAGTGATGTGTTGTACACTTAATTTGGCCTAATATTCTTAAGAACGACTTAATCTTC